ACGCACTGGTCTCAGTGAAGGGACACACGTGCACTGACCTTGGAGAACTGCGCCGTTACCTTGGCTTGCAGATCTCCAGGGACAGAGCAGCGCGCACCATCACCCTGACTCAGTCACACTTGGTGCGCCAGGTCCTTCAGAGGTTCGGCCTTCAGTTCTCCTTTGCACAGCACACCCCTCTGCCTGTAGACCACAGACTCTCTGCTCTAGTTTCTGAGGAGTCGGTAGAGCTCAGTGGCCCCTACGCAGAGCTGGTGGGTTGCCTCATGTACCTGATGACTTGCACTCGCCCAGATCTCGCATACCCTCTCAGCATCCTGGCTCGCTTTGTGGCCACAGGCAGACACCGACCGCAGCACTGGTCTGCCGCTAAGAGGGTTTTGTGTTATCTTGCTAGTACATCAGGCATGGGGTTAGTGCTAGGAGGACGTGGGCCAGTGGTCCTTACTGGACACACAGACGCTTCTTTGGCAGACGACGCCGAGACACTCAGGTCTACCCAGGGCTACTGCTTCAGCCTTGGTTCAGGTGCCGTCTTGTGGAGAGCTACCCGCTCCTCGTCTGTTGCCCAGTCCAGCTGTGAGGTCGAGATCTACGCTGGTGCCATGGTGGCACAGGAGCTCCGCTGGCTGACCTTCTTGCTCACTGACTTAGGTGAGCGGCCTAGCTCTGCCCCGGTCCTGTTCGCTGACAACAGGGCCATGATCCTCCTGTGTCAGGAGCCTCGACTCGAGGGCAGAGCGAAGCATATTCAGCTGCGGTACTTCCTCCTGCGCGAGCTACAGCAGCGACGCCAGGCTCGCGTAGTACACTTGGCCTCAAGTGCCAACACAGCTGATATCTTTACGAAGGCGCTTGCGCCTAGAGATCATCAGCGGCACTGTGTACAGCTTGGTCTAGTTCCTGTAGCCTCTCACTTGCTAGGGCCTTGACTTTGTACTGTCCTTTATATGTGTACTCGGACTGGACTTGTGTCCTCTCCCAGTGGCTGGACTAGTAGTGCCGTCCTGGTCTTGTTCTTGCCTTGTCTGTACTCCTTCTGACTGGTCTTTTAGACCCTTGTCTCAGAGGCTGGACTAGTAGTGCCGCCCTGAGCTGCTTGTTCTAGGACTGCCCCTATGCAGTCTAGGGGGTGTGTCAAACATGTGTATCTCCTATGTTTGCATAGACTGTATAGGGCCACCTCTTAGAGGGTACAACACTTAGGTATATTCACCTGTACTCTCTCTCTACTATCATTCAGTTCTCACTTTGATACATAGTCTGGCCCCCAAATTGCAGACTTTTTACTCTGATTCAGACTTTTTTCAGAATTTTTTTGGGGGTGTACTCTGATTCCAAAGACTTTTTTTTCTATGTTACTCTGATTTTTCAGAGAAGTTTTATGTACCTACTCTGATTTTTCAGACTTTTTTGACATGTGTACTCTGATGCTTCATCCTTGTATGGGGGGGGGACTCTGATTCCTGTAATACCGTCATTATGGGGGGGTTGCGAGATTTGCGTTGGTACCTCTGTTGTCACCGTCAATCACGCCAGAATTACATTTGCGCTGGCGGCCCGAGCCGTCGGGGGGCAAATTTGTGCGATGGCGCCAGCACAGAGATAGCCCAAGCAGCCGACTGGTCCTTGACCAAAACACGGTTGTTTTCGCCAATCCTGAGGTATTTTGCTGGGTGAGGCACAGCAGACGAGGCATCGCACCCATGCTGACGCGACGAGTGCCTGGTTCATTCATGCATGGACAGCATCTCGCGCGCTGCGATGGAGTTGCAGCTGGCATACCCCCTCCTTCTCCATCAGTTCTTTACTGACGGGGAAAACGACCCCTGCTTCTCCCCCCTCCAGCAAAACTTCAGCCAAGCTTCGTGTAGCCCCTCGGTTTTCTTTCAGTGCGTTTGTTTTCCCACCGCGCCCCTGCAGGCCATGGAGCAGGTCGACCTCGATGAGGACGTAGACGAGGCAGATTATGACGAACAAGACGAAGAGTACTGGTGTGCCGAGAATTTCCACGATGGTCCGGCCGCACTAAAGTTCCTGCGGTAGTCGGATGCTTCAGATCGTAGCCCTCAGAGGAAGCCTGGTGACGCTGCCCCTGCTGATGGCGATGCACCTGTTCCCGATGCAGCGGGCAAGAAGTCTGGGGATGCAAGCCCCCTGCCCACTGCTTCAACTCCTGTCGCCGGCACCACGCCGTCGGTGACGGCGGCGAGAGGTTCCGGTACAGGCAGGTGATTCTGCCGTATGCCTCAACGTCGACATGCCAGGATCCGCCTGAGCCTGTGCCGAGCCCCTTTGTACATGCTCACTTGCCAGAATCGTCTGGCGGTAGGTCCACTGCTAGAACGAACGAGGACATCTATGCTGAGGCCCAAGAGCGTTTCAAATCTCGCTGGTCTGAAAGATTCCCTTGGCTCATGCTTTTGAAAACTGATGATGGGCTCCCGGCCTTCAAGTGTAGTGTATGCGCAGTGCATGCAGGACCTGCAGGGCATACCGGCAAATCGGGCAAGGGAGCAAAGGACGTGCAGACACAGTCGTTCAAGAAGCACGCCGGAACGCAGAAGCATCGCCTCGCCATGTCCAAGCAGGACGATCTCCTGCAACAGGCGTCTAACCAGCGGCGGATCGACCTGCATCTCCGCGGGCCGACGAAGAGAAGGAGCGAGTGATCGCGTTGCTCGACTCCCTCTACTTCTGCGCCAAGTGTAACGAACCCATGGAAACTTGGATTCGTTTGGTGCGATACCTCTCATCGCGCAGTTTCAAGGGCTTCCTGAAGTCTGCCTACGGCACGTACTATAACTGGTGAGAACTCCAGTGACTATGAACTGCGCTATGTTTCGTCTTTAGATATGAAACTTACAACAACTTGCATTGTGCGTGTCATGTAACAGGTACGGCTTCGGCGAACTGACACAAGCGACGGCCACATGGCTACAGACGACTCAACTCCAACACCTGCTGGCGAGTCCCTACATTGGCCTGAGCCTCGACGAAAGCACCGATCGCTGCCGTGGCAAGCACATGATCGTGTTTGCCACGTTCATCCGGGAAGGGCGGCTTGTAACTGAGTACCTGGCTCTGTTGACGGTGGAGAAGGCGGATGCGGCATCGCTACTCGCCCTCTTGTTGTCCCATCTGCAGGCGATTGGCGTCGACCTCGGCCGCATCTCTAGCATTAGCACTGACGGCGCTGCCGTCATGATGGGAGCGCGCTCTGGACTTGTGGCCCGCCTTCGTCTTCGCGTTCCGCACCTTGTCTCTTGCCATTGCATTGCCCATCGGTTCGTCAACCGTTTGCTGTATGCATGTCATGTTTATTTGCTTGTTTTGTTATAATTCCAATCGCTAATTTGCTTCCTACATTGCATCTCATCCCCTTATCCCACGCAGAGAGGCGCTGGCGGCAAAGGCTGCAGCTGAGGAGATCCCTGTCTTCAGCATGGTTGACAACATCATTCGCGAGATCGCTGAGCTGCTCGGTCGCTCCAACCCTTGGCATCAACGATTCTTGGAGCTCCAGGATGTTCATGTCGACGAACCTCGAGCTCCAGGGCATCCACAACATCCGCTGGCTGTCGCGCGGAGATGCTATCATCCGCCTGGTCGAGGTCCTACCAGCCATTGTGGTCATGCTGCAGGAGTACGACGCCAAGCTGTACGCGCTCGTCACCAGTTACCGCTTCTGGCTCCTCCTGGTGTTCCTCGCCGACGTGCTCGAGCTGCTGAACGTGCTCAACAAGGTCTTTCAGCAGCGGGGGTAAATATGTTTAATGCTTGTGTTTGCAACTTTGCATGCATGTCGATATTGCTCGTCTCTGCCGCTCGTCCCTTAACCACACATCCCTCTGTGATGCCCTAGCTTTCCTCGCCCCCTACCCACCAGCTGGACTACACAACGGTGCACGCGCAGATCATCCGCACGACCTCGCTGCTAGAGAGCCGCTACGTAGACTGCGGAGACGACTTCAGGCGGGCCCAACGATCGATTGACGCGGTTCCTCGCCAAGCACGGGCCCGGCAAGTCCAAGCTAGTGACAGTGGAGGGGATTGACTCCGATGGCCGACCTTCACGGTTCACCTTCGAGCTGCACAAAGAGCCCCAAGAGGACTACCCTGGGCCCAGCGACCACGATGGGAGTGTCGTGGCGTGCATGGCTCTAGCGGAGGGCCTGGTCCGCAACCTCGACGAGCGCCTAGGCGATCTGCGGCAGCTGTCGGGAGCGCGCCTGTTCAGCGTCGACACATGGCCGCCCAACTGGGACCGCCACGCACGGAGGACGCAGTGCCTCGAGTGGTTCAACTCGCTCGTGGTCAACTACCGCGCTGAAGACAAGGACGAAATTCTGCCAGGTAAATTTGTTTACTCCTTTCAGTATCCCTTTCGCAATATTTATGAAACAAGACACATGTCTTTTCGTTAACCCTGTGTAGTGATTCAGATAACCCAACCCTTCTCCGTTTCCTTGTGTTGTGTGCCCTTGTCTGATCAGGTATAGACAAGCGCAAAGCCCAGAGCGAGCTCCGCAACTTCGTTCCCGTCCTTGCTGCGCTTCCCAAGGCGGACAGGTCATTCCACGCGGGGTTGAGCGCCATGCTAAAGACGCAGGACTGGAGGGACAGCTACCCAACCTGGTCAACTTGTGGGTGGCGGTGGCTGTCCTTCCGTTGAGCACTGTCGAGTGCGAGCGCGGGTTCTCCCGCCAGAACGTCATCAAGAGTTGGCTGCGGGGGCTCTCAAGGATACTAGGCTAGGAGATCTGATGTGCATGTCGCAGCTAGAGTATGACCCCGACTGGCAAGAGGTGGTCACCATCTGGCGGGCTTATAAGAAGAGGAAGCCCCTTAGCAATGCCCTCCCGAGTCTTGTAGCAGCAGGAAGGGAAAGGAGAAAGTAGATTATGATAATGATATGGCGACAGCACCGCAGCAAGATATGCAGGATATTGACTGATTCTGTGCATGTAGTGAATTGTAGTGCATTCTCTAATGAAGAACCATAAAAAAGGCTCATACTAAAGTTTGGCTATGACTCTGATTGGTCAGACAAAAAATTGTAGGCTACTCTGATTTTTCAGACTTTTTCAAGGAGGCAACTCTGACACCCATACCAAGGGAAGGCAGTGGACTCTGACGAATCAGACAGACCCAAAACCAATTTGGGGGCCTGTACATAGTATATAATTGGAGAACCACCCAGAGGAATCAGAATGAACATATCCGACCAGCCCTGACGGCTACACGTTTCTTGGGGGCCCGCCCTGATTGGCCAGGATGCCTAAATCCTATCTTGAGGCCTTGCCCGGGCCTCATCATCCGCCTCTGCATCTTGCACGCATGACTCATGCTCCGTTTCGCACGGCACCCTCGTTCCCAAAACCCTCTTCCTTCCCATACTCTCCTTTCCCCCCCTTCCCCTCTACCTTCCATGAAGGACTCTCATCACCCCATATTTCTCACCGCATGAGTCGAGCCATGCCTCGGCTCTGGAACAGGCACGAAAAGAGCCCAAACCCCAACCCCGGTCCATCAGCCAGCTCATCATCACAGAGATCATCCACATCATCCACCACCAGCCCCTTGGCCCTCAGCCTCTCGAGCAACTCCTGCCGCCGCTGCTCCTCCTCCGCACTCATCGCTCCTCCTCCTCCGCTCCACTTCCTCCACCACCACCCCTCCCCCCCCCTGCAGCCCTGCCTCTCCTCCTCTCCAGCACCTGCTCTAGGAGGTCCTGGAGAGCCCGTTTTTCCTCTCCAGAACCTGCAGCTTCTTCACCAGCTTCTCGTTCAGCGCAGCCATCGGTTGCAGCACCTGCACCTTGTGCGCCGCGGCCTTGAGTGCTGCTCGCAGCTGCTGCACCTCCTCGTCTGAGCTGACCCCTGCTGCTTCACCATCCTTGCCTGTCCTGGACCACGACCAGATCGTCTGCTCCCCCGCCGCTCGCTCTTCTTGCCATGGTTACTCCTCCTCCCGCTCCTTCTCCTCCCCTCCTCCCCCTCCTCCCGCTGCTGCTGCAAAAGCCGTGGCTGCTGCAGCGGCCATCGCGACTTCCAACCGACCCCCACTTCCCTTTCCCGCCGTCCTTCTTCGCAGGAGTGGCCCCCATCTCCTTAAGCTCGCCTTCCACCCTCTGCATGTTCCTCTTCAGCATACCCATCTCCACTACCTTGGACTTCACCTCGGACTCCAATTGCTTGATCCGCTCGTCCTTCCTCTTCCCTTCCTCTCCAGAAGCGCTTTCGTCCTTTCCACTTCCTTCACCTGCGCACGCAGCTTGCCCACTTCCCCGTCCCCTCCCAAACTATCGCCTCCTGCTCCTCCTCCTGCCGCCCCCACCACTCCGCCGCCTACTCCTCCCTTCCAGCTGGCACTTCTACTCACCGGCCCTCTCCCTTTCTCCGACCCGCCCCCACTGCCAGCACCACCCTTCCCCACCCGCCCCTGCCTTGCCAAGTCCCCCAGCTGCTCCTTCTGCTCGCGCACCTGCTGCTGCAGCTTCTCCACCTTGCTCTTGAGGTCCATGTTCTTCATTCGCAGCTTCCCATCTCCACATCAAGCGCAACCGCGCTCTCCTCCTGCTCCTTCCGCTGCGCAGCCCCACTCGCCTGCCTCTTCCCCTCCTCCATCTCCCTCCTAAGCGCCTCTACCTCCCTCTCCTTCGCCTCCAGGACCTCCTTAAGCACGCCGTCTTTCTTCCACGTTTCAACCTCGTCCTTTGCCGCCCCCAGCTGCTCCTGTAGCTCTTTTGTCTCCTTCTGCAGCTTGTCCACTTTCATCTTCAGATCCCCGTTCTTTATTTTCAGCTGCCCGACCTCCACCTCCAGCCCCACTGTGTACTGATCCTTTTCTTTCGGAGCTGCCCGGCCACCCTCCTCTTGATTTTCAGAACCCGCTCCTGAAACACATGCACCAGCAGATTCAACGGCAGGCATCATCCTCCCCCCATGACCCACATCCTCTTCGCCCCTGCTTTCTCGCCCCCGAGCCTGAGAGCACGCGAGTCAATGCCGTGCTCCGGGTGTTCCTGGCGCGGAACCCGAAGCAGGGGGTAGGAGGGAGAGCAGAGCAGGCAGCAGCAGCAGCAGCGGCGGCGGCAGGGTCCGAGGCACCAGCAGAAGCAGTAGACACGTCGCTACCAGTGGGACTGGCCAGATCACTCCCAGTCCTCCTGCTACTCTGCTCTCCTCCATTTCTTGCTTCCCGCCTCCTCCTCCCTCTAGGCTATTCTGCTGCACCTGAGCCTTCAGCTGAGCAACCTCTGCCGCATGCTCTCCGTCCTCGTTTTAAGCTCCTCCCGCAGCTTCTTTATGGTCACCTGCAGGTCCATCTGCTTTATCCGCCACTGCCCCGCCTCAACCTCCCTCGCCACCTCCTCCTTCTCCTTACCGCCCTTCTCACTCTCCGCTTTATCCTCCCCTTCTCCGCTTCCCCTCCCTTCCCCTCCTCACTCCCCCCACCCCCAATCCCCTCTCCTTCCGCTCCTTCCCCCTCCCCTTCCCCCGCATCCTCATCCACTATTCCCCCTCTTCCTTCACCTTCTCAAGGGCGATCACGGCTTGCGCCTCTCTCTCGCGGGAGTCCTTCAGCGCAGCGGAGAGGCGGTCTAGCTTCAGCTTTAGATCCATATTTCGGATCCTCAGCTGCCCCACCTCAACCTCCAGCGCAACCTGCTTCTCGTCGTCCCGCATCCCCGCCTTACCCTTTCCCCCTCCGCCCGCGCCTCCGCCTCCGCCAGCCGAGCCTCCGCCTCCGCCAGCTCCGCCTCCGCCCCCGCTGCGCCGTCCGCGCCTTCCCCTGCCCCCGCGCCCGCCTCCGCCTCCCCCTCCACGATTTCCCGCAGCATCGCGTTTTCCTCCTCAAGTGACTCTAACGAGGCCAGCTTCTGCCTCAGCGCTTCCTCCTCCTCCGCGACGGCTTTAAACCGTCGCACGAGCGTACTAAGCTGCTCCTTAGCACGACCCACCGCTTCCTGCGCTAGGGCTATCTTAGACACGTCAGCTCCCTTAGCTTCCGCATCCTCCTCGCGGTTCTCCTCCGCATTCCCCTCGGCCTTCCCCTCCCCTGCCAGTTTCAGCTCGGATAACGCTCCAACCAGTTCTCCCACGAGCCTTGCCCTGCTTCCTCCTTCAAAACCTTGTCCAAACTGCCCAAAATCTGCCCAAAAAACTTTTCGATCGCAGTCACATCCTGCTCGACAACAAACATTTCGCCCCCCTTGCCCTTCCCCGCACCCTCCGCCCCAGCCCCGTCTTCCGCCAGCTTGGCGGAGGAACCCGCGGGGCTGATAAGCGGAGAGAGTAGCCCCTCCTCCAAGCCTTCCCCGGCCGCGCATTCGCTGTCGCGGCGGCGGCGGCGGCGGCGTAGTGCGTCGACGTGACGAATAGCTGCTCGTAGCGCGCCGCGAGAGTTAAGTAGCGGTTGTGCAGCAGGTCGACCTGCTGGAGAAATGTCTGGGCGGCGCGCGTACATCAGCTCCGCGCGCTTGCCGAACGAATCCGCGCCCTCGTCTAGCAGCTTGTGGACGGCTTCCGCGCACTTGGCGGCGTCTGCGCAGCGGGGGAGAGAGAGAGGAGGTAGAGTGGGAGGAAGAAAGGGATTAAGGAAAGAGGGAGACGGAAGAGTAAGAGAGAGAGGAACGTTTGCCAGAGGAGTCTGCCCCCTCGTCTAGGAGCCTGTGGGCGGCGTCCGCGCACTTAGCGGCATCTGCAAGGCAGGCGAGAGAGGAAATAGAGAGGGAGGAGCAAGACACACGGGACAGATGTGGAGAGAGAGAGAGAGAGAGAGAGAGAGAGAGGAGAGAGAGAGAGAGAGAGAGAGAGGAGAGAGAGAGAGAGAGAGAGAGAGTGAGAGTGAGGCGCATAGGAGAAGAGGCAGGAAGGACGGGGGAGTAGAGGAGCGACGCAAAGGAGAGTGATGGAGAAATGAAGGCTTCGCGTGTGCCAGCACCCGGCACATAGCGAAGGCAGGCTGTTTCATCCAGTCAGGCACCGCACCGCAGCCTCTTTAATTACCGAACCAAACCATGCGGCGAACATGACCTATAGATTGGACCCGCTCTACGCCACTTTTTTTCAAAAAGCAGACCAACGAAACAAAAGACGACGGAAAGAAGGATGGAATGCTCGTCAAAATGGAGAAAGCAAATCAGAAAGGCGAGAGGAAGCAAAAGCAGATATTTAAAGACATGTGGAAAAAAAACCAACAAATCGAAACATCTGCCACTAAAAACGTTGCATATTCAGAGCACGTATGCCTCTAACAAGAGCAGCAGCTGGGGCAATCTTAAACAACTACAGATCCGATCACATCCGCCGTGCTCCTGATACTTATACATTCTATAACCCACCCTCGCCTCACCTTGAGAGTTCACTTTTAGCCATCGATTTACAGCCGACTGGGACAGCAGTCGTTTCCCCTGATCGCCGCCCGTCATCGGCCGCGCGCTGCCTCCCCCAGGCGTCAAAACCGAACCGCTGGCTTCACCTCCCCCGCTGCCGTGCGCAGCTTCAGCTTATCCTTGAACTTTTGCACCGACGTGTATGTTTTCACGCGCGCCGCGAGAGGCCCTTGAGGCGGAGCGCCTTGCGCTCCGTCCGTTGACGTCGGCATGGAGACGGAATTTTAGACGGAATGTGAGACCGGTAGTGGTACTCGTAAGCGGGACGAGATTGACACACTAGCACAGGGAACCAGGGGAATGTAACCGGGGGAATGTATTGAGCGCGAGGAACCCACGGAAACCGGACTACGAGAAGGATCATGTACAAACGCTTCCCGCCATCTCTATCCAACGCCGACCCGGATCTAACTAACTGAAGGGGAACAAGAGGTAACCAGCTACAGTACTAGGCTCCAGAAATTTCTGCCTTAGAGATAGGAATAGGCAGGCAGTAAGGACGGGTTGCTCACATTCAACCCCGACGAAGGGCGGAAGGCGGGGGTGAGGGAGGAGTACGCACAGGGAAAGGGGGAAGTGGAGGCAGGTGGAAGTGAGAGTGGGGAGAGAGGGGCGAAGAGGGTGGGTGGGTGGGGTGGGGACGGAAGGGGAGGGAGGGAGGGTGGGCGGAATGGGTTTACCTGCGTGGGGTGGGGGGAGGCACGCCCTGCGGTTGCATGGGGAAAGATTTGAGATTTGTTTCCTCTTGACTTTTGGCGGAAGGTCGGCAGCACCTTTTCCGCTGACCGTGGATGGGAACGAACGAATGCCGCGCGCCAGAACAACAGCCAATCCAACTGCATTGCGCCCTCGTATGAATCCTGGATCTCGAATTCGACGCGCGCGACATTATTGATGGATGGATGACTTGATGCCCAGCGATCTTTTCGGGGCTTGGCTGATTGAACTCGAGGCGTTCCTGGTTTCACTCGGCTTTACTATACTAAAATATATATTCCCTATTTGACCTCGAAATAAGTGCCCCCACCATTCTACGCACCAGGAGTGTTCTTCCCCTTAAAACTCAGAATGCCGTTCCGTAAAGTTCAACTTTACTGGGTTCACCTTCCTGTTTTGACTAGTGAAGCATAACCCGGTGATAGGGAGGGCAGCTCTCCCAGTGAACTATACCCCAAGGGAAACTTGATACTGTGGCACGCGATTGGAGGACTCGCAAAATTGACTACTGGAAGTGACGAATTTATTGCTCAACGAGTCTACACAGGCAGTACATAGCAGGTTTAGCGAGATGTTTGTTCTAAATTTCTAGACAAACAATTAATTCCATATCAACAAAGCTACGCATCTTGCAGCACTTCCTAAATGTGTGTACAAAACACAATGATACTTATATCTGGCGCTCCTTGGGTAAGTAGCTGAGAGCAAAGAGAGCACGCGGTGCCAACTTTGCTGCAAACACAAGCATAGGAAACCAGGAGGGGTCGAAGCTGATACATTTGAACAAATATCCCTGAGCACATAAAGAAGAGCTCGATGAAGGCAATGAAGCACAGAGACTCCAGGGCATTGTTGCAGAGCCAGGAGAAGAATTTTTTACCAGCTATCCCGTGATTAGCGAATTGATGTCAAGATGTAGCAGTGCTGCCTTGAGCGACTTCAGTACATCAGCGAGTTCACCAGACTGAAACAGGGAAAACGGGTGGTAGGAAGGGGGGGGGAGGGGGAGGGGGGAGAGAGAGGGGGGGGGAGAGAAGTGGGTGGAGGAAGAGCAGGACGGAGTTGGTCCAGTAAAAAACTGGACAGGTAGAGTCATGCCTATACCACAATCCACTTCCCCCCTCACCCCCGACACCACCCCACCCCGCCCCACGCATGCGTCACGTGCCAACCACATCCCAAATCCATACCTGGTGCATCTTCATGACAATGTCGCACCCGCCAATGAACTCCCCATTCACATAGACCTGGGAATAGTGGGCCACTCGCTGTCGGGGACGGGGGGAAGGGGAGGGAGGGGGGTACATTCGCAGAGACGAATTAACAATCACCATACGTCCTTACTCCGTTTGGCTTTGCTGGATCGGCTGATGCTAGTGCACAACATCCAAATCAACTGATAGGTACAGGTGTCATTCCAAAAGCCTACCTGAAAGATTTGATTCCCTCTCTGAGGTCTGGATCCTCCAGAACGTTCACCCCCTTGAAATCTACGCCTGGAGAAGGGGGTTAGTGAGAGCGCAACGGAGATGGGAAGGGGGGGGGCAGGCGGCTGAAGAGAGCTGGCGGGAAAGTGAGCGAGGAAAGCGTGAGGTAACAGAAAGAGCCGGACGAAATGGAAAAGAGTGCGCCACAACGGAAGGGGGGCGAGAAGAGAGGGGAGCGGGGAGGGGGGAGGGGTGGGGATTGGGCTGGGAAGGGGAGAGGCAAGAAAGGAAGGTGACAGAGTGCAGTGCAGCATGGTTACCATGAGCAGCGAGCACGCGCACGACAGCAGCGCTGAAGCCGCACATGGGCGCGGATGGCAG